TGATGACTAACTGCCTTCCATTTATCTTACACTGCTAAATTAGGGACGGCTAGCGCAGATAATCCTCGTGTAGCTTTGCGTGAAATTCGTAAACCAAACCAATAAATGTTTTGTTTTGATACATAAGTTGTTCGGGTTTTTTCATCTTAAAAAAAAAAAGCGACATTAATTTCTTAACGACCTAATAGAACTGAGAATAATATCATGTCATTAGCAGCAGACAAGCTTTGACTCACTAACACAATTATTTGTCGGTCATAGTTCATTCATATCGAAAATTCTATATTAATTTAATCGACATAAGGAGCATCAAACGCAAAATAACTAAGTAAGTGTAATGTGCACGTTCAAAAATACTAGGTTAAAGTAATTTCCAGAATCAGTAGTGATCCATGACTTTGTCAGTAGCAACTGTTAACTCTTCAGACCTTGAAATAAGAGTATGATGAAAAAATATTAAATGTTGGGTTTACCTTGTGATAATGTTCGCAAACCTTTTTTGTGTCATACGTGGCTCATATAGACATCCAAACGTTTCACTTTTACTGTAAGTTCTCAATTTCGCTTATATGATGAGTTACATCTACAGATTCGAGACAGGATGGGATATTCATCTGATGCCGAGAGCACAAGAATCTTCCGAACCAACGGCTACCACAGCCCGAGTATGGCGTCCACTTCCCAGACCATAAATGGACGGGACAGTAGCAACGCCCCTACACCAACCCCATTGTCTGAACCAACGTCGTTGTTATACACTGGGACTCCGACAATAACAGTTGATGAAGACCAAAACTCAGTTTATTATTGTAAGTAGTTCATTATTAAAAATTGAAAAAAAATGATTCAGAATTTCGCACGCACGCCTCACGGTGCTGAGCGTGATTCTTTGATAAAGGTACTCGAACCCTAGACCCTCGGATTTACAGACCACTTCGCTAACTACTAAACCATACTGAGCCAATTTACAGTATAATCACAGTTTATTATTGTAAGTGGTTCGTTGTTTACAATAGGATTAACAATGAGGTCAACTTCTTTTTGCCGTAATCTTTTAATATAATGATTATCCTCTAACGATGGCTTAATTTGATTATTATTGGAACATAGCTGTTTATTTAATCGAACTATTCCTCATCTGAGTAGCATATGTAGAGGGAAACCTAAACTTATTGTTTACAGGCTTATCTACTTTATATTCTTCTTTATAAACTGAGTGAGTGCGAGGCCTACTTTAAGTGAACGTTTATGTCAGAAAACAACATTTTATAGCGTTAACTTGTTATTGTTATTTTTTCTTAAAATTGAAGTTTAATGGAAGAAGTGATTAGATAACCACAGCCATCAAATAGTTTGTCATTGTTAGCGTTTAGATCCAAGTTATCACTTGAATATTAAAGTTTTGAATGCAAACTCTGTCCAATTGTCTAACATTTCGTTTGTTTTGTGTTTGTAGCTTTTATCTTTAGTGTATGTGTCTTATTTTAAGCAACTAATGATAGGTACCTTTCACTTTTAGTGAAATGATTGTGTGTTATTATAAGCATTTCAAGTGTTAGAGGTCGAGGGCCAAAAGACTCAGTTCTTTGTTATAATATCCAGTTCCCAGTGTCCCAGTGGTAGGTTTCAGAGCTTGTAAAGGTAGAATTTGGGGTTCGATCAGCACTGCGATACAGTGCGGATAGGCAATTCCATAACCTTGTGCAATAATCGTTAATATCCAACCACGTGCACTTTATTCTACGTTCTTGAGTGTTTTTTAGTTTGTTCGTTGGTACGTTAAAAGTACGATATCTTGAAATTGTTGTCAATTTTTAGAACGTCTTGTGATATATTACATTGATAGGGGTAGTAGAAACTTTTAACAATGTGTTCTGAACTATTCATATTACGTGCTATCGAAGTGACGTTATTAATGGTTTACGAAAATGTTGAAAAAATATGGGTAGTGTTTGTATAAAAACTACACCCAGATTGGATACGTTTGACTATGGGAATTCTAAATATGTGTGTGTATACATATTAAATATTTTATCTCCAATTTTTCAACATTTTATCTGATTCAGAAATATATGTGCTATTAATAATATTAGATTAACTTCCAGAAAAGGGTGACTTGTTTGGACAAGTTGAAGGACTTTTTATGTCAAAGATGATAGACGACGGAATTTATGGTGTTTATCTAACAGAATTTGTTAAATAATAAAGGATGTGTCTTTATCAACCACCATGAAGGCCTCGCTGCCTTTAACTTTTAATATTTCTTTTTTCCTAGCCACCACCTCTTCTAGAGATGATCGTCTGCCGTCCCTTCCTGGGTTGTCTCGTTCAGCAGAAGAGATATACGTAAACACGAATACAAACTCTGACGTCAGTAGCGTTAAGAAAAGCCGGAAGAGGAAAGAAGGGAAAGGAACATGGGGTTCAATTTCTCGCGTGTTTTCACGTGGGCGCCACCGAAAAGAATTAGATACAAGTGTGTTAAATGGTACCTCAAATTAAAAAAATTTACTATTTGTTTACGAGTTTTAATAAATAAATTAGAATTGTAGCAGTTAAACGAAATATTTCATGAATATAGTCCTTCAAAATTTTACTTAGAGCAATAAAAGTCGAAGACAAATCAATGTTAGATCAAACTTATTAATTATAAGTGGCTCTTAATGTGCGAAATACTGAATCAGTGAATGGAGCATATTGTTTAGAAAAGAGACGATCTTCAACTACAGAGAACGTATAATTAATTTTTACTAAAGTTATTCTGTCTTAATCTTCTTGGGCACTTCACAGTTTCAAAAGGTGAATACAAGTGATATAGAATTAGTGTTATTAGTGTAAGTAAATAATTAAAACTAGGGAATGAAACTATGTTAGATAGTTCAATAACTTGTGTAAAGTTGGCATCTGTTGGTTGATACAAAAAATGAATATTGTTGAACAATACTGTTGGGTCATAGAAAAAGAGAAGTTTGTAAATACAGAAAAAAAACACGATGACAGCACATACATGAGAGACATTTCCTGCAGAGTAACTAAAGCTCAGACATTTCTCTGCAAACATTTGAATGACAAGCACTATATTAGGTCAACTTCTGAAATGTCACCATGTTTCTAAAACTAATTTACTAACATTTCTGGATTATGTAACAGAGAACTACAAGCTGAACCAAATTTTCGTCATTTTATGATTTCATATAATCAAACATACTGTTAAGAATTCTTGATATCAATGAGCAGCTTTATTTTTTTACAATATTTAAGTGTCAAAAATTATTGTGAGTATGATCAGATCCACATATAATTTTAAGCTAATTGCATATATTTTCAAAAAAGCCAGTAAAAGATTAATTTTTTCACGTCACTCACTCTATGATAAACATGGTATGCTTTTGAAGTGACGAAACATGCAAGTTTGAATAACGTAATATGCTTTATGCTCATGTCTACTTTAAAAGTACACTGCCAGCATGTAATTACCACACGATATTAGGACAGTTAATAGTAAAACAGAAGAACCTTTCACAACAAGTTGCTTTGCTTCTGTGCAACTTATCTTACATTTATATCCCACAAACTAGTTATATCTTGTACCAAACACATTATACCCAAAGACTAGTCATACCCTATATCAAACAAACTATATCCCATGTACAAGTTATTCCCTATATCATGTAAACTATATATCCTACTGATTTGTTGTTCCCTATACCAAACACACTTTATCCCATGATTAGTTATAACCTATATCAAACAAACTATATTCCACTGATTAATTATACCATATATCCAACAACTTATATTTCACTGATTAGTTATACCCTATATCAAACAAACTATATCCTACAAAGTAGTTATACCTTGTACCAAACACTCTTTATTCCATGATTAGTTATAGCCTATACCAAACAAACTATATTCCACTGATTAATTATACCATATGTTCAACAACTTATATTTCACTGATTAGTTATACCCTATATCAAACAAACTATATCCTACAAAGTAGTTATACCTTGTACCAAACACACTTTATTCCATGATTAGTTATAGCCAATACCAAACAAACTATATCACACAGATTTAAAACTGATTATCAATAAATCTGACAACTTCTAAACACCATACTGCAATTAAATGTATGCTATCTAAATGTGGATTAGATTTCTTCTGTTACTGAAGGAAACAACAAATAATGTATTATACAAATTGTCAGCCTTCAAACTTACACTTAAAAATAGGCTGATTTTTAAGTGTAAGTGTATATAGAAGCATGTTCATGGCATTAAGAACATGAACTTCAACAACATAGTTGCTCTTATCTTGGTAAAGAACTAACTATGGCACCACTTATAGAAATAGTATCAATTTTGCAACAGCTAAATGTTTTCACTGACAGAAAATTAAAAGAAGCTTGTTTTTTTATCTTTGAACCCAGGAGTGAATAAAAATAAATGCTAGCCACTTCAAAATATTAACACTGACAAATAAAACATGCTTTTGAAATATTTATAAACATGTACAAAGTATACTTGATTACTGCTTGCAAATGCACATCTTATGGGTTTTCATGATTAATACATCTTACTGAATTATAAAACACATGTTTTTACTATAAAATATTGCAGCTAACATTTTATTCCTTTTGTGTGTATGTTATGCCATATATGTGTAATTTACATTACAGGTTTCTGAGTTTTTCACGGTTTTAAGTTGAAATTTGTTTAATATACAAGGATTGTTCATATACCCCGTCTGTATATTAATTTCTTTTTTTTATTATGTTTACAAACCTCTACTTCTGATTACTTTGTGACATCACAATTTAGTTCAATGATATCAATTTTAATAATTAAATCCACAGGTACGAGTGATTGAACAGTTTAAGAACTTTCTCAATACCCTTATTCTCCAACACTAGGTTTTGGTTTATGTAATGGCCAGTGACCCCAAAAGATGCTTGAATCTGCAAGGGAGTGTTCTCAATAAATTTCTCATAATGACTCAGATGAACACTATTTTCTTCAAATGTGCAGTAGAGCTCAACCTCTCACACATACCTTTCATGTCTTTATCAATAAGCACGGGGGTGCTTAGTAAGTAGGCATAAGCGAAGAAAAAGTGGCTGCCTCATTCAGTTTGTTACTTTATGATACTTACAATTAATTGATAAAGTTGAGTTACAGCCTTATGTGAGCACATAATTGCCATTATCAAGTGTTTAACAGCTGGTGAGGCTCCCAATATCATTGAACAGTGTTGCTAAGGTGGAGAACTGGGAAATAGCTAAAGAACCAAAGTGTTCAGCTTTCTTTTATTCTTCTCCCATGCTAGCCAAAAAATGAGTGAAGTTTTGCAGTGGCTTTAGTATGACCGAAAAGCATTTTAAGAGCACTTGGGAAAAGACTATCATTAAGCACGGTAGTGTTTAGTATGTAGGGATGGGCCAAGAAAAATATGGTCACCGCATCCAATCTATTACTTTATGATGATTACAAATAACTGCTTAAGTTTAGTTATAGCTTTATTTGAGCATCTAATTGCCATTATCGAGTGTTTCACAGGTTTTATAATAGTAATATTTTACTGTTTTTCTACTGGTTACTAGATGGCAGCATAAATTGTTCTTATATAACAACTGTTTATAAACATTTCAATACACAAACATGATATCTGCAAAAACAGTTTCATTACAAATAAATAACAAAAGAAAGAATAATCTAAATTAGTATTCAAAGTATCAAGGAGATCAAATATTTATGTAACTGACAGACCTGTGTACATGGTATTGATGTCTGAGTTTATAAACACCAGCTTTTTAATTATAATTATATAGTGATCTATGTTTCTTCAAGTTTTCAGTGGGGCAGCCTGGCAGCTGTGTGTGTGTGTGTATGGGTAGTATCATACTTCATGGCCTAAGATCTGTATGATGTCTTCCATATTAATCAACATGATCCTAACATTAGGTTGAGTAGATTGTAAACACATGCTGTGAGTTGGGGTGAATTTGGAAGGCATGGGTTCTGTAAATGTCCCTTAATGTCAGTCCAGTGCTCCAGGATACTTTTACCGTCCTGGAGGAACCATTCCAGCTTCATTGGCCCCCAATGTAATCCAAAATTAGAGAAAATGACAAAACCGATATGATATTAATGATATATTTTATCTTTGAATTATCAAAATAAAACAAATATTTACTTATCAACCTACTTCAATGAAATTGTTTTAGAAAAAGAGGGGAAACAAGTAATGAAAAACATTTTGCAAAAATTAAGTATGATGTGGGGATGGCAATGCCAACAAAAACAAGGTAGGGATGATTATGGAAACCATACAAAAATCCCTACATAAGTACTGAGTCAATCTTACAAACTTATGGTTATTAGCCACTGTAAGACTGTATAGCACTATTCAGTTTAAATGCTTTTATTCAAATCTGAATTCATGCAACTGACATGAATTCAACATTTAGTTGTAGATAAAGGTTATTCTTGGAAAAGTTTTTCTACTTATTTAGTGATTTTTTGTATGGTTTTGTGTACTCATCCCTACCTTGTTTCTTTACTTTTTGGTATTGTCATGCCTATATCATACTTAATTTTTGCAAAACTGATTTTTATTACTTGTTCTAACAAAGTGTCATTGTTTTCTTGCATATGATGTCACAAGATTAGTTTGATGCCTTGGGTTACTCTTTAAAGGTAAGTCTAATTATAAAATAAAGTTTAGATCCACTATTCTGGAACAACATGTTTTGACACTTTCAAACATTTCTTCAGTTGGACTGAAAAGGAGACAGATGAAAGTGTCAAAAATTGTTGATCCATAATAGTGGATCTAAACTTTATTTTAGATTATTTTATACAGTAATGTACATCTAGTTTTGTATTGGTTGTATTCTTTATTTTGTTATTGTGATGTATCCTGATGAAGAAGTAAATTATAATATTATTACTCATAAGTGATTACAAAGATCTGTTGTTTTTGATAGAAATTTTTGGATTTTACCAGTTTATCGATTATATGCTCTTTGGGTTAGGATAATATATGATACAGACAAAATCCTGTGTATTATCAGTGAAATTGTATTACTTATTTTTACATATTGAAAATAACTTTCTTACTAATGTGGGGGGGTCAACATATTTCATATTTTGACAAGATTTTCAAGAACAATCCACCACTATATGAAGCCTAGTCTTATTCTTTTGATTTTCTCTTGTCCAGGGCTACTAATGTGGGGTGGAATTTCCCCAGTGTAACTCAATGACTGTTATGTGATAAATGCACACTGTTAACTTGGGTTGTTTGTATGCTTATCACCAGGTGGAAGCTCAGACCAGAGATCATCATGGTCACCACATAGCAGTCTATATGCCAGCCCATTAACAGAAGACAGCTATAATGAAAAGCTAAAGTTGTTGGAAGAAGCTCAAGGAATTCCAATGGAGAAATGGAAAGCTGCAATAGTCCTTTCTTGGTTGGAAATTACTTTAGGAATGCCACAGTATGGTGCAAAGTGTTCTGAGAACATTAAGAGTGGAAAGGTAGCTAAATCTAATTTATCTGTAAACCAGTTTGGTTATATTTCAGGTATTTTATGTAATGAACCACCAGAATCATCTGCAATTTTATTTTTGTCATGTTTCTTTTAGTTAGTCCATTATGGATCTCAAGTCAGATGCATATGAAATTAATATTCTGTTTTTTTATTTTGTCTACCACAAATTGCAGTTTAGGAAGCATTTATTTTGTTCATAAGCTTGCAAGAACCAAATGCCCATCTGAAGTGATGTTTCATTACTGTGCCTGAAACTTCTACAATATTTCTAGTTCTACCAGGTCAAGCATGCATTTTACTCTTCATTATATGTTTTTTTAAAACATTATTATAGATGCACCAAAAACAACATGATGCTACAATACCTTGCCAAATATTCTAGGATTTACACTTTAAGATTCAAAACATGTAGACTTTGTGGCTAATGTACAGCAGTGAAGAATACTGTAAATAATGTTACTTACACAGTATTATATTATAAATTTGTATCTTACCTTGTAATTCAAAATGAGTATTGTATTTTCTGGATGCATCTTTGTGAAGATCTTCTAATAAGTTGTACTTTAGCCTAGCATTCTTTAGTTTACTTTTAAGAAAGATTGCAGGAATTAAAACAAATCAAGCCTTGTGCAATTTAAATTATTTGATATCATCTTAGTCTGGCACTTAATTCAGAAAGTATTTGAGCAGGAACAGGTAACATTACATTACAACCAGTATCTCAGAGATTAATAGTATATATATTGTCATGCCTGGCTTTTGTCAGTTTTTGTTTGAAGAGCATATGATACTTTCCACATTTTAAACAACATAAGCTATGGCACTTGGAGGACAGTTGTAGATTCTTGTGTTTATTAAAGATAGGATCTGCAAGTTTTAATTGTTTAAAAATTGTGATTTCGCTTTATTCTGCACCAGTCATTAGTTTCTAACTATACTAACTCACCAGGTAAAACAAAATTTATTTATAGTCATCTTTATACTTCTTGGAGTAATTTAAGTTCCTGTTGTTCATAGATTCTTCTAGAATTGTCTGATGGAGAGCTAGAAGTTGGTCTTGGAATAACTAATGCCATGCATCAAAGGAAACTTAGGCTTGCTATTGAAGAACATAGAGATTCTTCAGCATGGTAAGATGTGTTATCAAATTATCTAATCAGAAATGATATTCAATAAAAATTAAAGTGGCAAACTTTTAATACAGTATAAAAAATACACTTGAATGGATTTACAGAAATTGATAAGTTATTAGTTACTTGATAAGCATAGTTTTTTTTGACAGAAGAAGTTGGAGGTGATAAACATAGAGAGAAGTGGTAACCAAGTTTATTTGGGTTTTAGTGGATGGGATAGTTTAGGACATACTTCAGATATTTTAAAACTTCCTGTAAAACAATTAAAATGGATATAAGTTAAAAATGAAAATAGATGTTTGACATTTGATCATCTGGAACAACATCAAATTTTGTGAAAAGATGCACAAAGTCACTTGGGATGGTTAAATTTATATTAGTGGTTGAAGATAGGATACCACACTCAGGTTTTTGTCTGATTATAAAAATAAGGTATTTCCAGAATTTTGTCTAATTTTTTTCTTGGGTTTCTCTTGGTTTGTATCTCTTGATTTTGTGTTTGTCTTCAGCTCTTGATCCTGCCCTCAATCCGAGCATCTTGTTGGTAATCATTCAGATTAGAACTTTGGCAGTGAGCTAGAGTAAATAAAGGTTTTGTTATTGTTCACTTGTTTTCCTTTGCTGTTGGTATTCAAATTATTCTTTGCTTAACAGTCCAGAACCTGCATTTTTCAGATACTTTTAGCTAACTGGTGGATATCAGTGTACTTGAATACCATATAAGAAAACATATAGGTCATGCAGTTAAGAGCAAGAAATCTTGATCTAATTCCCATAAAACACCACTGAAGCCTTATTGGACACTATTTACATAATTGTTTTAAGTCACAATATGCGTTGACATTGCATTGTCTGAAAAATGTTATTGAATTCTCCTTAAAATTGTTTTCTGATTGATGAAAAATATGCAGTAATAATGTGAATATTAGATGTACCCAAACTAATTACTGAATAATTGTTATTTATCATGTGCAATTTTTTCAAACAAACTGATTCAGCCACATTCTAACTCAGGTGATTATGAATTAAAGGATACTTATGCTTTACAGGTTGTAAATAGCAACATATTGTCAATGAAACAAATTCAGTTACTATATTTATTGAATTAATAACGCACCAAAAATTACTCTTAATTTCTACTATGTTGCTTATTTACTTGCAGAACAATTAAGCATTAAAATATTAGCCTTTAATTTTTTTGAAATAATAATGTTTTTTTAAAAACAAGAAATAATAAGTAAAACAACTCTAATCATCGTCTTTAGCATGATGATTCTAAAGTAGCGGATAATTCAACTATGTTAGATTCTTCTCAATGACTTTTACATTTCCATATGGATTTACATTTACTGTCACAGTAAAACTGTTGTTTTTGAAATATATCTTAACCTTTTATGTACAAACAATTTAAATTTGTTAATATGTTATAAAGAAACTGTTAAAGATTAATTGTGATCAGTCTTAAATTTGTTGATTTAGAAAAATTATCTAAACAAGGGTTTGAATACTTCCAGTATTATCTTCTTATGAATCATTTGAGATTTAATCTTGATAACATTTTGATATTTCTTTTTTGTTTTCCTTTGCTGTTGGTATTCATTTTATTCTTTGCTTAAACATTTGAATCTACAGTCTTTTGAGCTTAAATTCAAGAACATAAAGTTTTTGTTATTATGAAAAAATATAATTATGATATTCTCACCTATGACATGAATCTAAATATTAAACTCCTGTTGTTTAACTTCAACAAAATAAATATTTTCACAGGTGAAAAAAATGTGCTTGTGTAATGTATAATTATAATATGTTTTCCTCCCCAGCTTGTATCCAAAGATTAATCTTCTGTCTCACATGTGGGTGTTAGATGAATGGTTACCCAGCTTAGGTCTAGCTATATACAGGGATGTCTTCAACTCTCAGCTAGTGGATGGCCGAGTGTTGAATACACTTATTAAAAAAGATCTTGAAAAATACCTAAACATCACTCGGAAATTTCACCAACTTAGTATCATGCATGGCATTCAGTTGTTACGCATGGTAAAATTTGATAAACAGGTAAGTTATCTTTTTTTTCTGTGTTTTCTTATGATAATTCCTATGTTATTTGAAAAAAATAGTCTTCAGTCTGGGTTTAGTGAAGTTTTAAAAGATATTATAAACCCAATGTGCACAGGCCTGTCTCATTGGACTGACTCTTTATTTGAGAAGGAATATTAACTATGTATGTATATTTATATATCCAAATTTATTAAGTGTATCTACACAAAATGTGGCAAGCTTTTAGTAAAATGTATTAGGTCTTCAAAAAAATTAATGTCGGTTTTTTAGATGAAAAAACCCAAACAACTTATATCTCAAAACAAAACATTTATTAAATAAATAGTTTCTACTCTTATCTATGATGCTTTTCCGTCTTACAATCAGGTTCTTAATGCCCCGATTAAAGAAACCACTTGGCTTTGAAGCAAAAAAAACCTGTTGATGTCCTTTTTAACACCTT